TGGTAATGATCCTACGCATCATGGTAGATCCTGGATGACCCAGACGGTCATGCCAAAGCATGTAAACCTTTGAATCAATGAACTTCTGGTTCATGACAGTATGTGATTCAATTGTCCTTATGTATGTATAATATAATCCACTCGACATACCACGTAACTTCTCCAATATACGCTTCTGGGTATCATTGGAGGTAATGCATAGATACTCCACATTTTCTGCACTTTTTGTTTCAATGTGGTATCCATTTAGACGTATGTCTTTGAAACTTAACAAATTTCTAGTAGATCGAGTAGCATACAATGCATTCTGTATGGACAATATTGTTTCATTTGGTAACATAATCTGGGCTTGCCCTGAACCTTGAATTACATCTGAAGGTCCTGATATTGTTGTTACCCCTACAAGTTCAGCATAATAAAAGCAAGTTATAACAAGAAAATTTACATGCCACTTTTATTTTAATCTGAAATACTACAAGTTCAGCATAATAAAAGTACATTAATGATTCCATCGGATCGGTATACTTCATTTCCCTTTTCCATAATAAAGTCTGGAACATCTAGATGAGTTGTGTTCAACTGCCCTGATAAGTCAAACACTGGATCAGGTATATCCATTGGTCTAGCCTGGTCGAGAAAGTTGGTCTCGACACCCTTCTCCTTGAGGGAGGCTTGATACAAATCCACTAGATGTTTTGGGGTACGACAAGTACGTGCCCAATGCCCATTGCCACCACACCTATGGCAGGCTCCTTCAGAGTTTCTACGAGCATTGTTCATATGAGCTTTGCATTTGTGGCGATTCGCATTTTTGAAGCTCGGGCCTGAATTATGCCTCGGAACCTGGTTGTGAAACTGAACTCCATGGTTCTTGCCTTTCCTATTCCATCGACCTCGCTTGTGGCCACGTCCTCGTTTATGATTATCACCACCAGAGGATGTGGCGTTCACTTCGAGGGAAGTAGCATTCACTTATGGGAATGGTGCAGATTCAGTAGGTGGGGAATGATGGTTTTTCATCAGGAGCTCATCATTCTGTTCAGCTACTAAAAGCACAGATATCAGCTGGTTGTACTCAATATAGCCTTGTGCTCTATACTGCTGCTACAGGAGCACGTTGGAGGCATGAAATGTGCTGAGAGTCTTTTCTAGCATATGCTCCTCAGTAATAATATCCCCACAGAGCTTCATCTGAGAGGTAATTCTGAACAATGCAGAATTGTATTCTGCCACTGACTTGAAGTCTTGTATCCTCAGATGAGTCCACTCATAGCGGGCCCTTGGAAGAATCACCGTTGTTTGGTGATTGTATCTGTTTCTCAAGGCATTCCAGAGAGCTAACGGATCTTCAACCGTTAAATACTCACTCTTTAGCGCCTCATCAAGATGGCGGCGAATGAAAATCATAGCCTTTGCCCGATCTTGAGAGGATGAGTTGCTCTCTTCCCTGATGGTATCTCCAAGATTCCCTGCTTCCAGATGGATCTTGGTATCCAGTACCCAGGTCAGGTAATTCTTCCCGGTAATATCCAGGGCAGCAAATTCAAGCTTCGCCAAGTTCGCCATTTTCTTTTCTGAAAGAAAATGAGATGTGTAAGAACTTGTAATAATATATATTCCTGGAGGAATATGATGTTAGAACTTCTGGTTCTTACAAATTTTTCATTTTGATCTTCAGACCAAAATGATAAGCACTCGAAACTTCTGGCTCGAGATTTTCAGGGTGAATGAGAAGGGCGATTGTACCGCACCATTCTCATTGAAATAATGTAATATAGAATGGGCGATTATTCTGCACCACTCAAGTAACAGGAAAATTAAATATGCAGAGCAGTGTGGGCGATTATACCGCACCACCTAAAATTGCAATAAAATTAAACAGCAGGTAAATTTATAAGCAGGGTAGGGTGGGCGATTATACCGCTCCACCTAAAATTTGCAGTAAAATTAAATCTGCAGTCTAAGATAGGCGATGATACCACACCGTCTTGGATCGCAGTAAGAATAAATTTGTAATTCAAGATGGGCGATTGTACCGCACCATCTTGGATTGCAGTGAAATTAACATAAATAAATACTGGGTTAGTAATCAATCTCTACACCAAACAAGTAATCAAAGATGTATGTAACCGTTAGTTGGAGAACTAAGAGCAAGCATGGAGCAAACAGTTCGTCGCGAGGGTATATTGCGCAGTTGAGTCAGAGGAAGAAGATGAACAGTAAAAACCTTAAAGGAAACATTTTTTCTTTCTTTCGTTCGTTCGGCGAAGAGAGATGAGAGAATAATTATATTTAGAGACTCGTGCTGATAACGTGTTATAAAAAGGTCAAAGTTAGAGGAATAACCTTTTTAATGGTAGGTGCAAGGTAGATGTAAAATGCCACACTAAAGTTATAGCACAGGCAGATAACAAATAAAAGCAGAGAAAATAGATGATATTACTGATATTTTTCTCTCATTCACTTCTTCTTTTCTTTCCTTGTAACTTAAAAACATGCGGAGTGCTCTATTTATAGAGCAACTCCAAACTAATGCAGTTAATGCATTTTGAAATTTTACGACACTTCGTCTGACTATACAATCTCTATGTATTCAACTTTCACTTTGCATGGGCATTGAAAACTTCTGCTCATACTGAAGACTTTTGCTAACATACTGTGTGGGCATTCATTGCCATCAGACTTTTCAACATTATAACTATTTTGAGCTGCATTAACATATCTTTATCCTTTTTACGCTTGATTTGAATTTTTTGGGAAAACTTGAGCTATTAAGAGCAACTCTACTCTTTACTCATTAGGACGATAATTGCTCGTGCTATTAGGCAATTACTGGCTTAATGAACAATAATTATCTAAGGACATCTCTATTAGAAATAAATTGTCCGGGCAATTGGCATTAATTTTTTTTAAAATATTATGTTTAATTTCAAATTCTATTCTTTTTTTTTTTTTTCATTTTTTAATTTTGTTCCAAATGAATGATATAGACTGTTGGATTACAATTTGTGCACTTCAACATCCCATGTTGTACCACGTGGGCTCAACTATTTTTCAGATATTTTTTTTTGAGTTAAAAAAGGTAGATTCATGTGAACCGTCAACTATCCACGTTTGAACAGAAACTGAGTGTGCCTAAGCGCAGGTCCTGCCAACACTTTTTGGTCATCTCACTCTCCCCGCTCGTGCATAAAGGCCACGCACATGATGCCCAAAAAAAAAAAATATTAAAACGTGACTAATGCTGGACTGACCTAAAGCGGACAAAGGGGCAAGAATGACCCAATTGCTTGGTCTAGGGGTGGTGTTGGGCCACTGAATGGCCCCACTGATTTGGGTGGGCTGGAGGAGTTTTTGTTGGGGTAAGAGGATTGCATCACCCAATTGCAAGGGGAATTGTGAGGGGGGTGGTGTTGCTCCAAGGAATAAGCTGGTTCCGGCCATTCCGATATAAGAAACCGTATATATTTTCCCATTGTAGAACTTCAACCTTCGCTAACTGCATGTGTGCGCTTTTTCTAATTTTTAAGACCACTTCTCATTCTGCTTAATGATTCCATCTGTTACCCCTCAATTTCTCGATGCTGCATGTTCTACATTTCAGAGCTTCTAGTTAACAGTAACAAATAATCCAGTACTCTGTACTGTGTCTTTGTTATCAAATATTTAAGAAATAAAGGATCAAGTGATCAACTTCTCATAATATATATGGTCATACTGATGTTGGATCAATATTTTTTTCTTTTTTTTTTTTTTTTTTTTTTTGCTTACAGTGGTGTAAGTAAATCGAAACCTTTTGTTTAACCACTTGAGCTAACTCGCAAGGGCGTCCGACCATTTCAGAGATAGCAACAATCATGCCGTTGATTTGATGAAAAATAATAATTCCAACAGGTATGGGCTTAATTGATTCAAGGTTGTAAATAACTGAAAAATGCATGGCTCTTCTCTACAAATTCGTAAGCAAAAACGGAGTCAAATTTGGTGAATTATGGGGAGTTTCAATGTCTTATCAAAAGTTATCATGAAATCGTAACGACGTCCACCATCTTCTTATAAACACCTTTTTGGATAAATAATCTGAATGTAACTTCCAAAAAATTTCTTCTTGCTGGATAATAAATTTCTCAGGTCTCATGAATATAAAAAAATAAATTTAACTCGTTACTTGATATTGTGATTTAGTTGTACTTATTATAAATAAAAGATGTTAAGTTCTAATTTCGTAAATAATAAGTTTAATAAAAGATGTTGAGTTCGAATTTTGTAAATAATAAGTTTAATAAGAATTTAGTATGACTAATCATTTGACTGATTTAGTCCAAATTACAGTATTAGTGTAAAGGCGCATCATTTTAACCAAAGATAACCATAGCCAAAAAGATTCGCACGTTTGTCTTATTTTCAGCTTGCAATTGGTAACAACGTACAAAACCCGTCGCATCATTAGGTCGACTCTTCATTCATTGGTACAGAGAGTCAAATGAATCAGTTATTCATCAGCAACTTTAATTGAAGTGGTTGTTGGAGACTTTTAGTTTGCTACTTGGACCAATGGTTTTAACTCCTGTTCTGAAAAAACACTCAATTTAATATTCAAATTTGTCGATTTGGATCTCATTCAATTCTAAGTTGTGGGGATCCTAATGATTCTCACATCCTAACCGTTTATCGTATATCGTACGATTAAAAATTATTTTAAATTTTATTATTTAAGATTAAACACAAATAGTATCTAATGAAAACTGATAGCACGATTTACAATGAACTATCATGATATGAGGATCCCTACAAAAGGGATCTGGATAGGATCCTCATCCCAACTTTGTATGGTGTTCATGTAATAGACTCTACGCTCACTGTCATTCAAAATTATTTCCCATTACTTAATTTGACTATTCAAGGAATCCATGCCCGCAGACAACTTTGTTTAATCCCAACTTGTTGGCAATAATATATCAAGTATGAAAATAAAACAATAAAATAAATCCAGTCAAAAATAAAACCATAAACAATGAAAATGAAAGAACACTTAACCTAATAAATCGAAGATTTTATAGCATATAAATCAATGTAGACAGCTTAGCTAGATGCACAAGCACTAATCCAATGGCTTCTCTAGAGGAACCAAAAGGCCTTCCTGACATTCCTCTTGATGATGAAGCAAGGAAAGAAGAAGAGAGCTACTGCCATGCACTGCAGCTGGTGGTTTCTTCAGTGCTGTCCTTCTCCATGCAGTCAGCAATTGAGCTTGGCGTTTTTGACATCATAGCAAAAGAGGGTCCAAATGCCAAGCTCTCTTCAGCTGAGATCGCAGCTCACGTCGGAACCAAGACCCCTGACGGACCCATGATGCTAGATCGCCTTCTAGCTGTCCTGGCCAGCAACTCCGTGCTCGACTGCACAGTTGTTAACGGTAAACTTGACAAGTGTTTCCGGAGGCTCTACAGCCTTACCCCTGTGTCCAAGCACTTTGTGACTAATGAAGATGGTGTTTCATTAGCCCCTGTGTTGACTATGGTTCAAGACGAGGCCTTCGTAAAAGGCTGGTATGTTTCTTTCGTCCAGACTTGTTGCTGAACCACATTTTGAAAATTGGGCATGTTCATGTATGTATGAAGAGGATCAAAATGTGTCCCAGCTTCGTATATACATGAATGTGTCCCATATTTGTTCAAGGATAAGATCGGAAATAAGGTTTACGATTTTCATTCCAAAATTTTTGTCCGATCAAAATTTCCAAATCCGAAACTGTTAAATTATTTTAGAACTGGAGTTCTCTCTTTTATGGAAAGGTTTGTATTTGATCAGAAATTTTAATGGTAGAATCGAAAATTCCTAATCTAACTAGCACTACCCCTAGTCCAGATCTAAGAATACATAGCTATAGCTAACTCTAATTTTGTGAACATCGACAGGCGTAAGGTGAAAGATGCAGTTATTGAAGGAGGAATTGCATTTGACAGAGCTCATGGCATGCACCACTTTCAGTATCCAAGTGTCGACCATAGGTTTAATGAAATATTCAACAAGGCAATGTTCAACCATAGCACCCTAGTTATGAAGAGAATTCTCAAGCTCTACAAAGGTTTTGAGCACGTTACGCAGCTTGTTGATGTTGGTGGTAATTTGGGAGGGGCAATTAGTCTAATCACTTCTAAATATCCACATATTAAGGGCATCAATTTTGACTTACCTCATGTTATAAAACATGCCTCCTCTTATCCTGGTACGACTTTAAATTTATAATATTATGGCCTATATATAATTTGAATTCTATCTTTTCTGCGTAATAAGAGATTGGAGTCGTTTATTTTGCAGGTGTTGAAAATGTAGGAGGAGACATGTTTGAAAGTATTCCAAATGGGGATGCCATTTTTTTGAAGGTGAATTTTAAACTCCTCATGCATTATTTTTGTTTGACCTGAGAAAAGTAATAATATAAATTGGAATTTTCTCTTTATTTGATCTTTTATACCATGAGAAGCCTTTTTCCAATGAATATCATTAACCGAAGCTTTTCTATTTAATTAATAATTCCATTTTTGTTGGGACTATTTTGTAGTACATACTTCATGACTGGTTGGATAAAGACTGCATAAAGCTATTGAAAAATTGTTACAATGCAATTCCAGACAATGGAAAAGTGATCGTGGTGGAGGCACTTCTCCCAATTAAGCCAGATTCTAACCTATCTGTGAGGACCAACGGCCAACTTGATCTGCATATGATGACTCAAACCCCGGGAGGGATGGAGAGGAGCCAAGAAGAATTCATGGCCTTAGCAACTGCTGCTGGATTTAGTGGCATCAGATATGAATGTTTCACTGCTAATCTTTGGATCATGGAATTCTACAAGTAGAGGAGTGTTGTTGAGGTTCATGGTCCTGATAATCCCACACGCAAATACCTAATAATCCCATCTTTTTCTTTTTCTTCCGAAGTTTATTTTCTGTCATACAAAATAAGAATACATTTTTATGTATGTGTAACTTGACGTTTGAAGGGGACTATTTTTGTGTGTTGTTCGAAGGGAATTTTAGTAGCTAATTAATTGCAGTAGTTATATACACATGAGTTTTGTGTTGGGACCTGCTTATATTTTGTGTTGCAACTTAGACCAAAACTTTATTGATATGAAGTAAACAAAGCATTAACATCGTCACGAAGGTAATTAAGAGTTAACCAACCCTGGACTGAAATATTGTAGCACTATCAAAAAAAAAAAAGATTATTTTTTCTGTTGGAAATTTAGTGTCATAACCTTTGATTGAAAGTATATGTTGTCTAGTTGTTAATTAATAGATGAGTAATGCTCGATAGGTCAAAATTTTAGACGATATTTGCAAATTATGTGATGTGTCACTAAAAAAAATTAAGTACGTTAATTAACGCTTAAGTAATAATTCATTCATCAACAACCACATCATATATTTTACAGAACATAATTTAAGTAAATAGTACTCGTACACTAGTGCAAAAAACAGTTTGTGCGACAAAAGTCCTTCGTTGCCCAAAGTCAAAAAATATCACGCAAAAATTAGGCCAACGAAACCTTCGTCGCACACCAATTGTCACGCCAAGGCAATGAAAGCACGGTTTGCGCGACGAAGAAGTAACCTACATCGCGCAAAGTAGTTTTGCTCGACGCATTTTCCTACATCGCACAAAGTGTCTTTATGCGACGCATGTCCCTACGTCACGCAAAACTACTTTGTGTGACATAGATTATCTGTCGTGCAAAGACACTTTGCGTGACACAAGTTACTTCTTCGTCGCACAAACCTTATTTTTTTTAGCAAAAATATTTTTTATTTAATTTTTAATAAATATTGTAATTAAATTCTAAACAATAATTAATATACCAATGGAAATTGAGGCAAAAAATATATGCTTTTTGGTAAAATTTCCATTGAGCATTGTTTAAAGAATATTTTGTATTATCAGTAATAAAAACAAACGTATATCAGATCAATGTGGTAAAGCCAATACATTCATTACAAACCTAAGATATATGTTTGAACATATTAACACATGTCCTCGAACTCCAAAAATACAAACTTGAATTCTTTCGAAGATGTGTAGATAAAAGCATCTTCCCTTTTGTACATACAATGTATGTAGCTCCTTCATCACTCCTTCATATAGCTCCTTCATGTATCTCACTACTTCATGCAGCTCGCTACAGTTTGTGTAGCTCCTTCATCACTCCTCATATCTCAATACACCAAAACCACACAACCACAAGTTTAATTACAATACAAATATCAATACACCAAAACCACACACCCTCTTTGTTCTAAATATGAGCTGCCATTTGATAAAATGTAATAATTGAGCCATTTCTCACTTAGACTCCAATAGGTTGCAGAGAAGACATAGGATAAAAAGATAATATGCAGATTAAGGGAACAAAGGCAATACCAAAGTTCATTACATTTAATAGTTCTCAATGCAAATTGAAAGCTTAAGTACATGGAAGATAAGGTTGGCTTGTAGCTACCATTTGAAATAAAAGCAGTAATTCAATGATTAAATTGATTGACATCATGATAATATCATCAAGTTCATAGCTTGCCAGCTAAGGTAGAGAGAAAGTTCAAAAGGATAAGAGGTCGTCATAGTTGGCAATTGGCACATGATTTATATATTGGAAATCTGCCTTAATCCAATTATTAATCCGAAAAGTGTATCTTACAACATACGCGCATTGCAAATACGAGACAAAACCCCTCATCTGATAACTCTCAAGCAAGCATGTAGCTAAAGAAAGATAAACAGATTATGCATGCAACAAATAGCTATTTTAATTATGTTTCTAATTTTTAAATTCTCATACCAGGAATTTGAAATGCTATTTGAAGATTTTGGAGGGTTTGATGGGCTGTACATGAAAATGCTTGCCTGTGGTATTCCAACTGCTGTTCACCTGATGTGGATTCCTCTTTCTGAGTTGGATATCCATCAACGATTTCTCTTACCCATAAAGCTCGACCTCAATCCTTGAATTCAGAGAACTTGTGAAAAGGCATGTTTTCAGTTCAACTGCAATCATTGCCCTCCGTTCGACATCAATACCTTTTAATGGTAGTTCCCTCTGGAAAAATAGATTCACAAAAACAGCCATTCGCTTGACCTCCATGTACTAAAAATAGCTTATCAGTTTGACAGCTTTCTCTGATGCATCCCCCGGATCCCAAATAGGCCAAATATCAAGGTTACGAGTGAACCAAAGATAGAAATCAGCATGTAAATCAATAGCCAAGGCACCAAAATTGCTTTCTAGGTGACCTTCGAGAGAGCATGCTAAATCAAAATAGGTGCCCATAGTGCATTCACTTTGTCTCTTAGATTTTTCATCAACCAAGAGAAATAAGATTGAAGCAGTTGGTAGTACTATCCATCTGACCCTCACATTCTCAATTGCCTTCGCAACATGATCAAACTCCACATTTTTAAATTGGGAAAAGCTCATTCCATTTGTATTTATAATTTGGGGTTGGCTTCCAGGGAATAGCAACGGCAATTGGTGGTATACTTGTAGCATATTGGTGAAAAGTAGCAGAGATTCCTTGAAATTTACTTACTAAAAGCTCAACAATAATTGTGCAACCAGAGGGATTCCAGATATAATTAGTGCTCACGAAACTGTAGAGGTCTCTCTAGTGAGATATTTCCATTTTGTCTTCACTACCTTTCTCAGACATTTTCTCAAACAGTTCCAATGCATAAAAATATTTCTTCACAAATTTTCCCACAAGATACCAATTAACCCATCCACATTTATCAGTCAAGAAATCTTCATACATGATCACAATAACACCAGTATGATATGCCGGAATAAACTGCAAAATCCAATACCATTTCTACCCAACATTCAACCAAATTAAAGTTTTCCAATTTCTATCCCACATTTTAACCAAGTTAAGTTTTCTAATTTCTATCCAACATTCAACCAAATTGAAATTTTCCAATTTCTACCACATTTTAACCATGTTAAAGTTTCCTGATTTCTATCCAACATTCAACCAAGTTAAATTTTTGCCTAAGAGATGGTAAAACAAAAAGGAATTGAAAGCAAAAGCAGTACCAAAAGTGACGGCCAAGAAGGAGGCGGCGGGAACAACGAAGGAAGCAAGCTGCTTGACAGGAGCAACAAACAATGAGCCTCCGTTCTGCGATTCTCTGTACACTCTTCGACCACCGGATGGCCTAGAAGCGGCTTTTACCGCTAAGCATCTCCTCCTTCGCGGTAGGATAGCAAGTAAAACCACGCCCTACCCACGATAGCCCAGAAAAGCACTCCCGGACCTTTGGGGCTGCAGTAAAATCTAAGAACCGAATAGGAGTTTTAGTATTCAAGTAAGAGAGAGAGAGAGAGAGAGAGAGAGAGTACCTTGGGATGAGACCAGAGAGAGATGGCGGAAGTGGAGCCCATATGGTGAGAGCGAGCTGGAAGTTAGAAGAGCATAGAGATAGGGTTGTTGGAATGAACGAATACGACTATGGAGGTTTTGTTGTTGTTGCAGAAAACGAAGCAGCGGAGGGGACTCTGGAGATTGTTATCCACGGTCTCGCGAATCGAAGTCTCGCTCACAGCAACCATGCCAGAAAGAGGAGGTGGGTGGGTGTGCACAGGAGGTAAACCAGGATTCGAGAAGGAGAAGGAGGAAGGATGAGGAGGAGGCTGGCTGGGTGCAATCGCAAGGAAGGCTATGCGAGACGGAGTGAGAGAGATGGCGAGATGAGGAGGAAGGACTCTCTTCCATTTTGTCCTTGAAATTGGGGAAAATTCAAAAATAAGCGCCTACTTTTTACAATTGGACCGCCATAATTTTAACAACTTATGCGACGTAGGTGCACCTTCATCATGCAAAACTGTTTTGCACGACAAAGACTGCCGTTGCGCAAAGCTATTTTGTGTGACGAAGGTGCACCTATGTCACGCAAAGGACGATTGCGCGACGCGGCTTGTACGTCGCCAAAATTTTAGCGCCAAACCAAGACTTAAACTGTTTTTTTCCACAATAATATATTTTTCTAATGAAAACCCGATCCGAACTACAATAATAAATATAAAGCTACTTAATAAATATACATATCATTCAATTTCTTAAGTGTTATACGCACAAAATAAATAAATTTAAAGCTACTTAATAAATATATATACACCATTGAACTTGATGTGATATGCATTCTACGAAATTAGTTTCAACGATCTAACCGTTAAACTTGTTTGTATATGTTTGTATATGCTTCGAGATCGCATACACAAAAAAATCGTAAAAAATAAACATTCAAATATCAAGTAATGGGACAAAACTTTCCGACGGTTATAAACGAAAAATCACGATTTAATGGTTATTTTAACTCCAATTTTGATGTTTTTTTATAGCTACACTACTTGACCCTGTATGAATACAATGAACTCAATCTTCAATTTAAAATATTTACACTAGTGGATACCATAAAATCTTATGTTATACTAAATGAAAGTATAAATAAATTTTTTAAGTGTTAGTGAATCCATTGTTTTGATAGGATATACATTCTACGAAACTAATTTCAACGATCTAACCGTCAAATTTGTTTGTATATGCTTCAAGATTGCATACGCCAAAAATCAAAACTTTTTGATGGTTATAAACGAAAAATCATGATTTAACGGTTATTTTAACTTCGATTGTGATGATTTTTTACGGCTACACTCATTGATCTTATATGAATACAATGAACTAATTTGATCGTCAATTTAAAATAGTTCTACAAGTGGATACCATAAAATCTTATGTTATATCACAAAGTCATTGACTTTGCGCGACGAAGGTGCACCTATGTCGCGCAAAAGATGTTTGTGCGACTCGGCCTATGCGTCGCGCAAGATTTTAGCACCAAACCTTTTTTTGCATAATAATATATTTTTCTAATAAAAACCCGATCTGAACTACAATAATAAATATAAAGCTACTTAATAAATATACATACCATTCATTTTCTTAAGTGTTATACGTACAAAATAAATAAATTTAAAACTACTTAATAAATATATATATATACACACACACACACCATTGAACTTGATGTGATACGCATTCTACGAAATTAATTTCAACGATCCAACTGTCAAACTTATTTGTATATGCTTCGAGATCGCATACGCAAAAAACAAACATTCAGAGATCAAGTAACGTGACAAAAGTCTTCGATGGTTATAAACGAAAAATCACGATTTAATGGTTATTTTAACTCCGATTTTGATGATGTTTTACAACTACACTCATTGACCCTATACGAATAAAATAAATGAACTCGATCTTCAATTTAAAATATTTACACTTGTGGATACCACAAAATCTTATGTTATACTTAATGAAAGTATAAATAAACTCTTTAAGTGTTAGTGAATCTATTGTTTTGATGGGATACACATTCTACGAAACTAATTTCAACGATCAATCGTCAAATTTGTTTGTATATGCTTCGATATCGCATACACCAAAAATCACAAAAAACAAACATTAAGAGATCAAGTAACAAGACAAAACTTTTCGACGGTTAAAAATGAAAAATCACGATTTAACGGTTATTTTAACTCTGATTTCGATGATTTTTTACAGCTACACTCCTTGACCCTATATAAATATAATGAATGAACTCGATCTTCATTTTAAAATATTTACATTAGTGGATACCATAAAATCTTATGTTATACTTAATGAAAGTATAAATAAACTCTTTAAATGTTAGTGAATTTATTGTTTTGATGGGATACGCATTCTACGAAACTAATTTCAACGATCCAACCATCAAACTTGTTTGTATATGCTTCGGGATCACATACGCCAAAAATTGCTAAAAACAAACGTTCAAAGATCAAGTAACATGACAAAACTTTTCAACGGTTATAAATGAAAAATCACAATTTAACGATTATTTTAATTCCAATTTTGATGATTTTTTACAACTACACTCCTTGATCCTATATGAATACAATGAATGAAATCGATCTTTAATTTAAAATATTTACACTAGTGGATACCACAAAATCTTATGTTATACTTAATGAAAGTGTAAATAAACTCTTTAAGTGTTAGTGAATCTATTGTTTTGATGGGATACGCATTCTATGAAACTAATTTCAACGATCCAACCGTCAAACTTGTTTGTATATACTTCGAGATCGCATATGCCAAAATCCGCAAAAAACAAACATTCAAAGATCAAGTACGGGGCAAAACTTTTCAACGATCATAAATGTAAAATCACGATTTAACGGTTATTTTAACTCCGATTTTGATGACTTTTTTACAGCTACACTCCTTGATCCTATATGAATACAATGAACTAATTCGATCATCAATTTAAAATATTTACACTAGTAGATACAAGATCTTATGTTATACTTAATGAAAGAATAAATAAACTTTTAAGTGTTAGTGAATCTGTTGTTTTGATAGGATACGCATTCTATAAAACTAGTTTCAACGATCCAACCAAAAAGCATGTTTGTATATACTTCAAGATTGCATACACCAAAAATCACAAAAAACAAACATTCAAAAATAAAGTAACGGGAAATTTTTTTTTGACGGTTATAAACGAAAAATCACGATTTAACGGTTATTTTAACTCCGATTTTGATGATTTTTTTTACAGCTACACTCCTTGATCCTATATGAATACAATGAACTAATTTGATCATCAATTTAAAATATTTACAGAAGTGGATACCACAAAATTCGTCGTGCAAAAAAGACTGTCGTCGCACAAAACTACTTTGCGCGACATAAGTGCACCTATGTCGCCTAAACCAAGACTTTTACCTCTTTTTTCCCAACATTGCACGACGTAGGTGGTCCTTCGTCGCGCGATGCTGTTTTGCACGATGGCGGTCTTCGTCGCACAAAGTTCCTTTGCGCGAAATGCCTTTGTATGACGTTTTGTTGTTACCATTGCGCAAACATACTTTGTGCGATGCAGTTTGCTCCGTCGCACAAGTTGTCGTCGCGTAAGTATGTTTTTATAGTAGTGGTAGCACTCCCCTAAATAGATGCATGCAAAGAAAACATTGAAGAATTTTATGAACCATGCATCATAACTCTACCTACTCTTAATTTGGTGGAATTTTTCTTTAAAATTAAAATAGTCAATTAATAAAACAACCCTCGTAAGTTGTACTTTTGGTGCTATAGTATTGACACTCCAAAAATTTTATTAGATATGCACTCCTCATACATGTACTTTTTTTTTTCCGAGTACCGAAAGTTTCTCTACAAACACTTTCAGAACCAGTTAAAGCAACAAAAAAAATATCTTAACTAGTCACTTGTCATATTTAGTTGATTATCATGACAATTCTCCGACACACAAACAATAATTCATGACCGTAGATTTCTAATAAAGGCCACATGTGACATCCCGTCCTGAGATTTATCCTATTTTATTCTCAGTAGTAGTGAAATTATCAAAATAACCCTGAGATGCCACGTAGACATTCCATGTGGACTTCAATTTTCCTTTCACTTTTCCAGTCTTATTTTACTAATTTTGAATAGTACTCATTTTTACGAACACGTGGCAGCAGATGGAACTCAATTCAAAGTTATAACAAATAAGTTATGTTCGAAACAGTACAAATTCACCTAAGATAAGTTCAAACTTTAAAAATCATCCTCGTGCAGTGTGCACCATTGCCTTGGTTCAGCTAGCCCCTCACTTTCTCTCTACTTACAGACTCAATCATTATTATATTCATCCTTACTTTAACACTCTTATCTCACAACTATTTCTTTAGCTTTCTTTATTTTTTTTTATTTCACACACTCTCTCTCCCTCAGCTGAAATCACTCTCTATCTCTCCATTCTCTTTGTGCACTATCGAACTCACACTCTCTCTAGCATCGAGAGAGAGAACCCACACTATCACCCTAATCCCTTCACAAATCGAACTCCAAAACCATGAAACCTTAATCTTTGGGACACAGGGAACCTAGTGATGGTCTTGCATGCGCCATCGGAGCATTGTGAAGTGTAGTCCCATTAGACTCGAGAGCTTTTGAGCTCTCACCTTCAATCTCAGGTGAGATTATTTCCTTCTCTTCGATTTCTGGGTTCTTATCTGGGTTGGAATTGAAGTTTCTATTGGATTGAGCTTTAATTTGTGTGTTCTTAGCCCATCCTCTGCATATGCATGCCTAACCCTAACATTAAAATTCCAGCAAAACTTCCGTCAAGTTCGTGAGTGGTGGCACTTAAACTTGCTTGGAATTGATCCTAGGTAACTAAATATATTCATGCATGTGTGTTTTTTAGCTGAAAATTACTAAGGTTTGACATGCATGCATACTGCTTCTTATTTCCTAGAATTCGATGAGTTCCACCAAGCACTACCATACCCAGTCAACTTCGGCGAGTTCCACCCAATCACCACGTCTCTTCCTCTCTCTCTCTCTTGTCACTCTCCCTTACCTCAACCTTTGTCTCCCTGAGATACCGAGACCGTCACCGTTCCCAATGAATCTCCGCCATTCACTGCCTAGGTAAGCTTTGGGGTTCCTCCTTTCTCTTTTATTTTTTTTATTTTTTTTTATGTTTAGTTCAATTTCTAAGTCGGCGTGTTCTTTTTGGTGAGTTTGGGATGCAGAAACAATGAAGACAAAATTTTTCCCAGATTTTCCAACGGACCCGAAGCCTTTGCAGGCTTTTTCCAACCAACTCCAGCCACAGCCGAGCAACATAGTGGTACATTTCGATTCCTTGTTTCTTGGGCTTCAATGTGATATATTGGGTTGCTAGTTTTAGTTGAGATTTGAAGCTAAA